GCTCCCCTCGTCGACCGCTGCTCACTTGTCAGGTCTGCTCCGTCGACCTCCCGGTCGAACTGCCCCTCCTGGTCGACGGCCCACCCGTCGCCCAGACCAGTCAGTTGCAGCTGTCGAGCTCCCTGGTCGACAGCAACACCACAGCGGACCCCTACAGCTCGACGAAGCCTGTCGAGCAGCTCTCCCACTGTGAACGGTCGGCTGCTACTCCCGTACATCCGACCAAGTCGTGGGCGTTGCCCAAGCGAGGGCGGGGCCAACACTCCATTCCTGTTAACAGAGACGACTCAGGAGGTGAGGGGAGAACAGACACAGGCGGAGAACGACGAGGACTAGAACGAAACAAGACAGTGCGGAGGTCGGCAAGAGGAGACGAGGGCCGAGCACGCGGAGGACAACGACTGGTCCAGTCGTGCGGGACAACAGGAGGAGACGACTGTGACTGAGGAGGAGAGAAAACAGCCGGAGCCGAGTCCAGAGGAGGAAACGTAGGACCGTACGCGGTAGGAGACTGTGAGTGGACAGGAGGAGAGGAAGGAAGACCAAGGGCCCGAAGGCCACTCACTGGAGGGAACAGCTGCTGCTGCTGCTGCTAGTCCAACTGCTGCAACTCGTGCCTCTCCTGCTCCAACCGCTCCTGCTCCTCGCGCTCAAGCCGGCGAAGGGCTTGGAGACGGGTGTCGTAGCGGTGGGGAGGCGCAGTGGGCGCCGCAGTAGTCGCGCCTCCAGCTCCTGTCTCCTCAGTACCAGCTCCTGCAGCGCCAGCACCTCCTGCTCCAGCACTCCCAGAACTAGCACCACGAGCGCCAGTACCTCCAGCTCCAGCACCCCCAGATCTAGCGCCACCAGCGCCAGCACCTCCTGCTCCAGCACCTCCAGAACTAGCACCACGAGTGCCAGTACCTCCACCTCCAGCACCCCTAGAGCTAGCGCCACCAGCGCCAGCACCTCCGGCTCCAGCACCCCCAGAACTAGCACCTCCAGTGCCAGTACCTCCAGCTCCAGCACCCCCAGAACTGGCACCTCCAGTGCCAGTACCTTCAGCTCCAGCACCCCCAGAACTAGTGCCACCAGTGCCAGCACCTCCAGCTCCAACACCGCCTGAGTCCACAGTAACATTTCGCGGAAGTGCCGAAGGCTGCTGAGGGGACTGTGAGGAGGACTGCGGGGAGGGAGAAGCTACCTGACGCGCGACCGAGGGTAGAGGAGTAGCGTGAGACACACCTGACGGGGCAGGACCAGGGGGGGCGGGGGTACCGGAGGAGTGGGAGCAGGGGGAGGAGAGGGTGCGAGGAAGAGGGTGGGAGGGGGGACCGGGAGACCTCGACAGGGGTACCGGGTGTAGTAGGACACGGACTCGTCAAACCGGACGTCACGAGAGTCGAGAAACTGGTCGAGGGGCGGGTGGTAAAAGGAGTAGTCGGGAGAGCCCACCGGGAAACCAAGGAAGACACAGGGGATGGCGCGAGCAGAGAGCTTGTCCGCAGAGGTTTCGCGGACAAGCGCAAGGCAGCCCCAGACACGAAAGACCGACCCAACACCAGGGGACCCGGTCCAAAGACTGGTCGGTGAAACCTCTGGCCGCGAGACACGCGGCTGGATGTTCAGCTGGTGCGCGTCGTAGCGAAGCGCGTAGGGCCACAGAAAATGGGGCGCACGGGCATGGATCATGGACGTGCGGGCGATGTCCATGACCACGCTAATGCGGCGCTCAGCAACCCCATTTTGCTGTGGGGACTCCGGCAGCGTCCAGGACTGTCTGATGCCCTGCTCGCCGCAGAACCCGGCAAGGACGCCGGAGCGAAACTCACCGCCACGGTCGGAGTGGAGACAACGGACACGACTACCACGAGAGCCCTCAGTGGCCAGAAGCCACCGGATCAGCGTAGAAGTCACCTCGGACTTCTTTGCGATATGAAACACCGTGGTGTACCTAGAGTAGTCGTCAACGACCACTAGAAAGTATCACTTCCTCTCAGGTCCGAGCGTAGGGGCAGCGCCCCAGACGTCCAGGTGGAGAGTCTGGAAGGGAGCAGTGGCCGGACGAATGGAGGAGGAGTGCGGAGTGGCGCGCAGGCGGCCGGCGACACAAGGAGTGCAAGGTGGAGCAAGCGAGAGAGGGAGCGACGGAAAGACGCGCGGGAGACCTGAGACAAGACTGTGACTGGCCATGCTGCGGAGGCGGGGGATCGACGGGTGGCCAAGGCGGTGGTGCCACAAGACGGTCGTGTGGGCTAGGGACCGACAGGAGCAAGACGCAGCAACTAAACCGGACACAGCAACCTGACTGGACATAGCAACCTGACCGGATACAGCAACCTGACCGGACACAGCAACCTGTGGGGACGCAGTAACCTGACCGGACTCTGCTACCGGGGGGGACGAAGCAACCTGACCAGACGCAGCTACCTGCGGGGGCGGAGTGTGCAGGACGAAGAGACCTGAGTGGGGCTCTCTGGTGAACGTGGCAAGAACTTCCCCGGTGGAAGAGTCCGTACAGATCGCAGTCCTCCCGTGCGCAGGAAAAGTGACTGTGATCCCCCGGTCCTGAAGGTATCCAACACCCACCAAGTTCCGAGAGAACGAGGGGATGTAGAGACCAGTGAGGAAACCAGAGGGGACAGCTGGGCACGGGAGAGTGGTCGAGCTATGAGCAACTGCTGGTCCTGAAGTAGTATCAGCCAGGGCAACTGGGACTGGAGCCGAAAGATGTGTGACAGTGGTGTGGTCGCGGAAGAAGCACTGAGACGCGCCGGAGTCCAGCGTGAAGGAGAGCGACGCAACAACAGTCGTCACGGCTGGGCTAGTGACTACACAAGTACCTACTCTAGCAACAGGCAAAGGTCCTAAGCTAGGTACACGCAAGCCAAGAGATCGATACGTGACAGAATAAACAGCATCCATAGACATATCAAACACAGGGTAACCAGTACGAAACAGACCGGGCCAGATCGGAGGAACCGACTCAGGCCCAAAACGCTCACGGTAGAGGTCGTCGAGGCGACTGTAGCAGCGCTGTGCAGAGTGGTCAGGACGCCGGCATGTAGTGCCAGCACCAGGGCCGGTCATGATCCGGTACTGGCAGGGGCCAAAGTCGCGGCCACCGCGACGAGTCCCCCAGCTGGCTGGGCCGCTGCTGCAGCCAACACTACCCGAACCACCAGGCCCCCACGGTTGCTCAGGGCGCCACAGCTGCTGAGGGCGGAGCTGCTGCTGAGGGCGCCAGTGCTGCTGCGGGTGCCACTGCTGCTGTGGGCGCCACTGCTGAAACTGCCGCTGCTGCTGTCCCTGCTGCTGGAGAACCCTAGTGGACGCCATGATAAAGGCTAGCGGGGTGCAGGAGCGGCAGGCTAGGAGCGACAGGAGCTAGGGACGGCTGCAGTGAAAAACGAGAACAACTAGGAGCGCCAGGTGAAACTAGGCAAGGAACGGCCGGAGGACGGAGCAAACTGAACTAGGAGCGCCAGGTGAAACTAGGCGAGGAACGGCTGGAGCACGGAGCAATCTGAGTTAGGAGCGCCAGGTGAAACTAGGCGAGGATCGGCTGGAGCACGGAGCAAACTGAGCTAGGAGCGCCAGGTGAAACTAGGCGAGGAACGGCTGGAGCACGGAGCAAACTGAGCTAGGAGCGCCAGGTGAAACTAGGCGAGGAACGGCTGGAGCACGGAACAAACTGAGCTAGGAGCGCCAGGTGAAGCTAGGCGAGGAACAGCTGGAGCACGGAGCAAACTGAGCTAGGAGCGCCAGGTGAAACTAGGCGAGGAACGGCTGGAGCACGGAGCACACTGAGCTAGGAGCGCCAGGAGAAACTAGGCCAAGGAGTAGCAGCCTCCAGCCGCGACGGAACGGTGAACCCAGTGGAGGTCTGCTAAGGTGAGAAAACCCGGAAACGGTCTGCTAAGGCTCGAGGCGCGGTAGAGCGTGGCACGCGCCTCGGGAAAGCTGTCGTGGCGCGCGCCTCAGGCTACTCTGGCTGACTGTGGCGCGCACGTCGCTAGAGAGGGGTCGCGCGCGGGCTGTGGTATGGGGCGCGTGCGGGCTGGGTAAGGGGAGCGCTCAGGCTGTAGTAAGGGGCGCGCGCTGGCTGTAGCAGGGGCGTGCACGACTGGCTGGGCGTGGGGCCAGCGCGGCGGCTAGGGGCAGGGCGCACGGGCTAAGTACGAGGGGCAGGGCGCACGGGCGACGCGTGGGCTAGGGGCAGTGCGCACGGGCGACGCGACGGGCTGGGGCAGGGCGCACGGGCTACGCGACGGGCTAGGGCAGGGAGCACGGGCTACGCGACGGGCTAGGGCAGGGCGCACGGGCGACGCCTCGGGCGGGGGCACGGGTCACGGGCGACGCGACGGGCTGGGGCGGAGGCGCGATACGGAGGGCGTGGAGGGCGCGTATGGGGGGTCTAGGCGCGGAGGGCGCGTTACGGAGGGCGCGGAGGGCGCGGAGGGCGCGGAGGGCGCGGAGGGAGCGGAGGGCGCGGAGGGCGCGTTACGGAGGGCGCGGAGGCGCGCGACGGGAGGCTAGGGCGCGGAGGGCGCTAGGGCGCGGAGGGCGCTAGGGCGCGTGACGGAGGGCGCGAAATAGGCTAGGCTAGGCAAGGATTCTAAACCTACTTGTGATACCATCTCAAAAATAGAATGCAACGGAATAATGAGACTAGGAAAGCAAGGCAGTACAAATATGAAACCCTAACTGAGTTGTACTCACTAAGGAGCACCTCAGTACAGCCTATAACAGATAATAACATTTGACAAAAACACCCACCGAGGAGCCACGCCGGCTTAAACTCCTGCTAAAATGGTGCTTCACAGGAAACTCCAAATTCCACGGCACCATAAATTTCGTGCAGTAACAGTTTCGTGTCAAACATGTTACAACTAGTGTTACAAAGACATCATTTTCCATAAGTGGTTAGTTACACGGGAAGCTACCTTCATGGCCCATGAATCATGAGCCTAAAAGGAAAGCATTGCACCTAGAACAGGGCGAAGTGGGGAGGAAGAGGGTTAGACGGGGGGAGGGGGAGGGGAAGGGGGAGGGGAAGGGGGAGGAGAAGGGGGAGGGGGGGGCGCGGCGGGAGCCAGGGGGCCACTAATTCTAATAGCCACCTTGATCTTCCATGCAGCGCACTGCCATATCACACTGCTGCCAAAGTATAAGGTGGTTCCTGCTGCTGAACTTGGCACTTTGTACCTGAAGATCGAAACATGCCGAAGACATTCTCACACAGGCACATGCATACAGACAAGGCATGCGAGCACAGATTGAGCACACGCAGGCACAAGTAAACACACGGGTGTGTGCATGCAGGTACGAGTCGGCAACCCTGTCAATCGAACTCAACACGTTACGACATCCAAGCCAAAGACTCACCATCCTTGCCCACTCGTATGCTCACCAAGCCTGGGGCATAAGGAAGAGCAGCACATCCTACTTCTATTTCCCAGTCCCAGTAATGTCTTTCGAGCCTAATTCAAAACACGCATCAGGAAGAGATGAAGAGAGCAGCATGACCCACTTGTATTTCCCGGTGAAGGAGATGTCAGTCTTCCTGGTGGCGCTGCCGGCAGAGAAATCACAGTTGGTGTAGGCTTTCCTTGAGTGCATCACCCAAACGTCATGTGGCACGAACCGCCATCGGAACACTGCAGCCGGGACACACGCAAGGGGGTGCATGCGAGGGAGGTGCACGAGCAAAGCGTGTGGGGAAGAAGGGGCGGAGGAAGAGTGGGGAAATGAGGGCGGAAGGGGGGGGACCATACGAGCCACGTGTGGGAATTATCCCAGCCGAACCCGAGCGTCACAGCTCGGTCCGGAAACGATACGGCATTGCGTGACCAAGAAACTGTTTTTTTTTGGGGGGGGAATAGTAAGCCCATCTTGTTGAACATGCGATTTGACAATCGCATGTTCAATCTTATCCCATCTTGGCACAGCGCCTTGATGGTCGGCTAGGTTGGACTAATCATTCCAACGAGGCTTATTTGTAGCTAACTATACACCTACAGCTTTCGTACTCCGAATAATTCCATGCAGGCATGCAGTAACTATTGCCAACTCAGTAACTTTTGCCTCGATCACTGCTCTTACCGAGGACGTCACCAGGGCGGACGGTGGGTTGCTTCCAGTAGAGAACGTTGAACCGCCAAGGACTCGCCCTCCACTTTCCGCCCACCACCACCTTCTTACCCTGCAGCGACACGGCGGCCAAACTTGGATGTACGTCAAGCGGAACTGAATGAAAGAGCAATCTTTAAGAGGGGGGATGTGAACGGCAGTAAATAGGGTTAGACGAATCAATCAATTTCAGTTTCAAAATGTTATTGAGAGCGATTAACAGGTGGGTGGAGAGGAGTATTCTGCGAGTGCATTACCTCAGTGCGGTACGACCCTGCGCAGGAGTCGCGCGCCATATGTACCGGTTTGCGGAAGCAGTAGGTATCCGCCATCGCGGAAAAGGACGGCCGAGAGACGGAGAATGGGGAGAGGAAGTGAGGGATAGAATGCGATGAAAAGAATACAAGAATCGGGAAGGAATAGGAGATGATCGTTCAACTTCCAAAGAGCATTATGGGACGTCCACAATCCATGATAAACATGTAAGGCTGATAAGGGAAGTTGTCGACTCCAGGCCGTTCATTAGCTTATTCTGAAGTGAAAATTACTTACTACTATTATAGAACGCGTAGCGACGCTGTCAGCACCGGGCCGGTGCACAAGAGAGCTTTGCTAGGATGCTCAGCATACGGCTACTGCATACGGGGCTAGTGAGTCACGGGAGGATAAAGGGCATTGAGGCAGATGCTACGAACGCCATCACTTACAGGCGAGGACAAGCAGGAGCGTCAGGAGCACGGAAGCCCGCGCCATGACGACTAGGGTACTATTTTCGTGCACAGGAACAAGTCGGGATTTCCCGTGCACCGTGAGTCCCTATGTCGGAAAATCCTGGGAGGACTGAGCCATTCAGTGGTGAAAGTGAACTTAAATGACGATTGGAGTCGACTCCTCAAAAGTCGAACTCTTTCGAGCCGACTTCAGACTCATTTTTTTTTTTAGTCGACTCTAAGTCAACTCTTTTGAGTCGATTCAAATGTCAACTCTTTTGAACCGAATCGAGCTAGGGATTGACGGCAGGCTGCTCGCGCCAGAGTGTGAAGTGCTGGTCTGCACCATCACAAAGAACAGATGGGTAGCTGGAGGGGTGGGTTTTGAATTAGGGGCACCCACCTCGCACTCAACTGTCGAAACTGCTCCACTTATGACGGGGGAGCAGATGAGTGGTAGCTTTTCCCCTGTCGAAAGGGACCTGCTGCAATGTTGCCGTTGGCATGGGCGGCTCGAGAAACTTGTGGAATACAGTAACTTCCCGTGCGAGTTGGCGTTCAAATTCGTGAATGCTGCTGTTTGCGAGAGTTCTGTTTCGTCTTTATCGGTTGTTACAATTCTCGCTTTGCCCCCAAACCTTTGTCTGCTGGTTTCAAGAGCGCGCGTCTACTTCCAGGAATTGAGAAAGGCCACGTTGATTCCAAGAATTGAGTAGAAAATCGGGATGACGTCACATTCTGTTTTTTTTAATATGTAAAATATACACCGATGAAACAAGTGCATATAAACATATGTCAGTCGTAACTGAGCAAGAGGTCTGGTCTGGTACAGGCCTCAGGGGCGGCTTCTAGGGCGGATGCAAAGCCCCACGTGAGAGGTTCCAGAGCGCGCCAAAATTGTGAGTCCACTTCCGGCCCTTGCCCGCCGCTAGCCCGATGCGGTTACGCAGCCGAATTTCCTGTTCAGCCAGCGCATATGTTCCCCCATGCTGCTTCTGCCCACTTCTCTTGTCCAGATTTTTCCTCGTTGCCCAAGTGTACAGTTTTACGTGTAAACGGAAGGCCGCCTTAATGCGTCTGAGGACTCGCTAAGCCCGATATCTTCTCCCCCAAAAAAACGCATTCACACATTTCTGACCAGACCTGGTGTAGCGCGATGGCAGCAAGTGAAGCTTTCAGAAATGCTGAGGTGGATACTGCATTTCCAAACAGCAGATCGCCGAGGTCAGCAACTTGCCACAACCACAAGTTGAATCCGTGGGCAGGTGAAAAGGCAGTGCTTCAAAGTTTCAGCTCCCCGACAGTGAACTTAGGAACGAGAGCCTTTCCCCCACTTGTAGGTTGAGACTGTGGATCCTCCGTTGATGGGTATGGGTTGTTGGCCCCGCCCTCGCTTGGGCGAAGCTGACTCCCTGGTTGGACGCGCGAGTGGTGCGGCCAACTGTTCTGCAGGGTTCGACGCGTGCTGGTAGACGGGGTTGTCGACCTGCAGGCGACCGCTGCAATGCCGCCGTCAACGGAAGCCGGCGACCGATTTCAACTGGGAGGTCAACGAAGGTGGTTGTCGACCTACGCGAGTCTGTCGAGGAGCCGTCGACGGTGTGAGCTCGACGGCAGCAGAAGACCGAGCTGGTCGACGGAGGGGACCATCGACCAGGGTGGTCCTCGACAAGGGTGGTGGTCGACGAGGGAGGCCGTCGACCAGGACACCGGGTGGTCGACCTGGTCGACCAAGTTAACCCGGCGAGGTTCTGCGGAGGCACGCGAACGACGCCGAGGCCGCGATGGCAAAGGCGACTTCGGGCTGGTATCCTGAAGTCGATGTGGCTCGTCAGGCGCAGACAACAACCGACAGATGCCTGACGGTGCATGTCGGGCCAATCGTCTGCGCGCACCTGCGAGCGTGCGCATTGCTGTCATCTACGGGTGCAACGCTGGACAGCCGCTTTGCTGCAGCGTTGGCACGCCGTCAACCTGCTCTATTGGCAGACCGCATTTCTGCAGCGCTGGCGCGGCTCCTCTACGCAACGCTGCCAGGCTGTTGACCATGCTGCGCTGGCAGTCGACCAGCTGCCCTGCTAGGTTGCTAGGTTTTGATGTAGTCATTCTTGCCAGTGTTCTATCAATCATTCTGTAATCCCAACTTTCCTAGTGAAACTCTTGCCAAATTGCTCTGTGAACGCAGAAGTGCGAGAGAACGTTAAGGAAGCTACGATCACTCCTAGAGATCGTGCCAACCCCCCGTAGTCTAGCTCCCGACCGTTGTAGAGGGAATCTCCGCATGGTGCGGTGAGCGTGGAGGGCCCCGCAGATTACCTTCAGACAGTAGCCGACTTTTGCACCTACTAAGTCGTTCGTAGGCCGGCATCCCGTGCAAACCATGACGCCTACCCTGGCAGCGGGCGGTGCGGTAGAGGACAGCTTGGAGGCACGTTTGGCTGATGCGACGAGACGCCATGGAGATGGCGAGTTCGGGATGGTGCTCCCTTTGGAGATGGTACCGACAAAATAACCGTCACGCCACTGCAAGGTCGGCGGGACCTCATCACGTAGAGGGAGGCGATTGAGCCTCAAAAGGAGATTGCGGGGCTGATGGGATTCGCCGACGGCAACGTGCCTACGCCGGACGCGGACGATGTCGAGTTGCTGGCGGAATTTCGTGCCGCACACCTGCTGACCTTCATGGTCATCTCGATGTGCTGCTCGCCGGTGGTGCAGATAGCGCTGAATTCGTGTCGACAACGACTGGACGCTGGTCACCAAGCGTGGCGGTTCATCCTGTTGACCTACCAGGCGACGGACGACCTGTACATCGGTCAGCTAGAGGAGCAGATGACTCACCTCAGGATGGGCGAGCAGGAGTCGGCGACAAACTACTGCAATCGTGCTCGAGGGATCTTGGCCGAAATGCGGATGGCGGGCGTCGACTACTCGACGACGTCCTACATTACACATGTCGTCAGGTGGTGGCGGCGGAGGTGGAGGTCGTGGAGGCGCTGGCGGTGGCCAGAGCCAACTACAGACTCCGTCGTCCCAGGAGCTTCGTGAGTGGTACTCTCCGCATGGGGGGGGGGGGGTGGCCTTAGCTGCACGTACGTCATCCGCACTGGTGACCGCACTGGTCAGACGTGTGGGAGGGCGCACACCACGCAGCGCTGCTTCTCCCGCCTCGACGACGCCTGACGCACTCAGTTTCCTGGTGCCACTGAGCTGCCCCGCTGGGCTGATCTGATGAGGAAGAACATTGATATCTATGCTCTTGACTTTGATGCTATTCTTGGTGCCATGTATGTGTTGTCTGCTAGTGGAGAGAGTGACCAGTACCTGCGTGTTCCGCCCGATCCGGGCATTCGGACCAGTGAGGCTGCCGCTTTAGGTGCTAGTGCGTCTGTTGCCCCAAATGCTGGTGAGGCTGCCGCTCCAGGTGCAAGCGTGTCTGCTGCCCCAGGTGCTGGTGAGGCTGCTGCTCTAGGTGCTCGTGAGTCTGCGCCCTCTGGTACTGAGTCTACTGAGGCGCTGCACACCTTCACACTGGACTCAGGTGCTTCTCGCTGTTTCTTTCGTGACCGCACTGCCCTTGAGCAGCTTGCTCGGCCGGTTGCTGTCTCCCTCGCTGACCCCTCTGGGGGTCCGGTCATTGCGACCTCCTCCACTGTCCTCCCTTGTCCTGCGGTTCCGTCGGGCACATTGTCAGGTCTCCACCTCCCCTCGTTCTCTACGAACTTGGTGGCGGGTTGTGCGCTCCAGGACGGGGGTGTCCACCAGTTCACCCCTGCCTACGAGCGCGTGACACACTGCACGTGTGCTCGGATGGGCCGTCACCTGGCTACCTTCACTCGGCAGCCGGGGTCGGACCTGTACACACTGACCACTGAGTCCCCTCAGGTAGCTGCGTCTGCGTCTACGTCAGGTCAGCTGTCGGCCCCCTCCTCGTGTCGCTCTCTGGCGCACGAGACCGTCCTCTGGCACCACCGCCTTGGTCACCCGTCAGTGCAGCGCCTTCGTGGCATGCACGCCCGGTACCTTGTCTCTGGTCTTCCCAGGGTTCTCCCTCCCCTCCCACCCTCGCCTGCTCCTCCTTGTCTTCCCTGTGTCGAGGGGCGGCAGCGCGCCGCTCCTCACTCCTCCTTGTTTCCCCCGACGACTGCTCCCCTGCAGACGCTCCACATGGACGTGTGGGGCCCAGCCCGCGTTCGTGGACAGGGTCACGAGAGGTACTTCTTGATAGTTGTTGACGACTACTCGCGCTACACCACGGTCTTCCCCTTGCGCACCAAGGGTGAAGTCCCTGATGTTTTGATCCCTTGGATCCGCGCTGCCCGTCTCCAGCTCAGCGAGAGGTTCCACTCGGACTTTCCTGTCCTGCGTCTGCACTCTGACAGAGGTGGGGAGTTTTCCTCCGACCTCTTGAGGGCCTTCTGTCAGGGGGAGGGCATTGAGCAGTCGTTCACGCTTCCGGCCTCTCCACAGCAGAATGGGGTTGCTGAGCGCCGCATTGGTTTGGTCATGGAGGTCGCTCGTACCTCCTTGATCCATGCGGCTGCCCCCCACTTTCTGTGGCCGTTTGCGGTCCGATACGCTGCGCA